GTAACTTTGAAGCCCGGCTTTGATTGCTGGTTAAATTGATGTTAATAATTCCGAAATAGGTTTTGTTGAGCATTTGGAAGACATATATAACGCTGTGTGTATGTTTTGGTATCCAGTACAGTGAAGAAAGATCCGTGTATACTGTTTATATCATTGTTCTTCGGTCTTTTGTGGAAGAGATGTTCCAAGTGGTGAAGTTGAAATCGTCCTTTCTTAAATTGTACGTACGCCATCACGAATTGGTTGACCGTTATGGAATATCCGTTTGACAGATGACAACGAATATGTTCCAATTGTCGTAACTACAATCCCGTCTCTTTTTCCCAAATGTGACCTACCGAATTGGACTTAACATGAGCAACACGACGGGTTGCCACATGTGGGGCAGGATCTGCTTACCCTTCCGGAGCACCTGAGATCACCCCCAGTTTTGTGTTGCTCAGTCTTTGGTTTTCTATGTTGTGTATTGTGTACTGTTAATTGTTTGTCTGTCTGTTTGTCTTTTTCATTTTTGGCCATGGCGTTGTCAGTTTATTTTCGACCTATGAGTTTGAATGTACCTTTGTTATCCTTCACCTCTCTTTTTCATTGCGATCATACTAAATCTCGGACTCTCCTTATTTGTATTTACAATAAAAACAAGTTTATCAAAGCAAACAACGAGACCAGCAAGGTAAAGGGTTTTCGGAATATGATTATGCCTTCTTTGCGCTAAATCAGACGAGGCGTACTGATTGATTTTTTCATCTGGTCTATATATAAGTTTAAATTGGGCTTTGAACTACCTTTATGTAACTACGAGTACTCTTAGATCGGTACTATGTGTGTTTTGTCATTTTTATATTTGTTTGTGATTAATTCCAAACTGATGAATAAATCCCTTTCCAACTTATTTCTACTGATTTTACAATGTACTGTACCACAACTGACTCGGCTCACAAACTTTTTTAACCCGGTCATATTATTGTAGTGCCCGTTCCGTGCCAGGAGACTGTAATCCAGTATTTTGTTGTTGGTTGCTGTCTGCCAGTTTGTTTCAGTTTATCATTGTAGTATAAATCAGGCCTAGTGTTTCCTCTTTTGAATTGTTTCACTTTTATCATTATGGAGTCCGATTATATCCTACTATACGGTATGGGTTTTGCTCACTGTTGGATATCGCATGTTGAGGCGACCTGTACTTGTATACATCTTTGTAAATTGGTCTTTGATGGATAGTTGTCTCATCGGCAATCATAGTTTATATCGTTTATATCCAGAGGCAAATATTTGATTCATTTCTAAACATTAAGGAATTTGAATTTGTCAAAAATGACATTGAAAGTTATTTACAGTGTTGCAATCTGTCTTATATTATGATGTGCAATTTTCGTAAATCGTTTCCACCAATATATAAAAGTCAACATGGTTTTAAATACAGAATAAGTGATGATTGAAGGACCACTGAACACTTAGTCAACATTTATAGTTTCGTTTTCTTTCTCCGAAACTTCGAGGTGAACGTAAATCATACTTCAATGAACAGACATATGGAACGATATCTGCAAATAATTTTAAATTTAACTGATTAGATGAAAACATGACCGTTTAAGATATTATTTGAATCTGATTTTCAAATGTCAAATAAACATCCAATTTCCAAAGCATGCAACTCTCAAATGACTAGCTGACTGCAAGAGAGACCTCGAATGTTGACTCAAATGACTAGCTGACTGCGAGAGAGACCTCGAGTGTTTACTAGCTGACTGCGAGAGAGACCCCGAATGTTGACTCAAATTACTAGCTGACTGCAAGAGAGACCTCGAATGTTGACTAAAATTTCTAGCTGACTGCAAGAGAGACCTCGAATGTTGACTCAAATTTCTAGTTGACTGCAAGAGAGACCTCGAATGTTGACTCAAATGACTAGCTGACTGCAAGAGAGACCTCGAATGTTGACTCAAATGACTAGCTGACTGCGAGAGAGACCTCGGATGTTTACTAGCTGACTGCGAGAGAGACCTCGAATGTTTACTAGCTGACTGCGAGAGAGACCTCGAATGTTTACTAGCTGACTGCGAGAGAGACCTCGAATGTTGACTCAAATTACTAGCTGACTGCAAGAGAGACCTCGAATGTTGATTCAAATTTCTAGCTGACTGCAAGAGACCTCGAATGTTGACTCAAATTTCTAGCTGACTGCAAGAGAGACCTCGAATATTGACTCAAATGACTAGCTGACTGCGAGAGAGACCTCGAATGTATACTAGCTGAGTGCGAGAGAGACCTCGAATGTTGACTCAAATTACTAGCTAACTGCAAGAAACCTCGAATGTTGACTCAAATGACTAGCTGACTGCAAGAGAGACATCGAATGTTGACTCAAATTTCTAGATGACTGTAATAGAGACCTTGAATGTTGAAAATAGGACTAAAGCTTCAGTGGCAAATAAGTTGAAAATGAATAGTTGTGTCCAAATAATATTTCCAGGAAAAAATCTAAGACGCGGATTATCTATCATAATTATGAGAAATGTTTAAGAAATATTGGCCTACTGATGTACTTCTAAATTAATACAAAATAAACATTTACACACACCAATTGTCCTACCCATTAAAATACTATACAACTCAAAAGTTTACTCATTTCAGCTGCCATTTGTATGTATCTTCATATACAAAGCAGATAACCCTTCTCCAATTAGAGTTATTACCAAAACTTTGGGTTTGTTTATCGTACAAGATTTGTAGTTACCATGATCAACACGAGGGGTTACTGAAGTGGAGCAGGACTTTCTTACCCTCCCTGAGAAACAATTTTTGGTAACTTTTTTTTTAATCTTTATTTATATGTGTTATGTTTTGTTGACTGTTGTTTCATCGTCTTTTTTTAATGTAGTTTTGTCTGTCATCCATCTACCTCTGCTGTTGTATTCCCCCTTTGAAACATTTCCTCCTACTTTATGCAAGTTATTACGCCTTTTTTATAAACCAGTTCATGTCTGTTACATTAATCATGTCAATAAGTTTATTCGTCCATTCGATCTTGCTTGTTTTTTTTTATTTATTCTCTTATTTTACGTCTTCTTATTATATGGAACTACCATTTGTGAAGAAGATAAAAAAAAAAGTACATCTCCGTCCACCATATAATATATATAGCTATAACTATATAAATATATGAAAACACTGTACATGAAAATATGTATATAAGGGATGACCATTTGATTTTCTGGTCGGTAGACAGGACAATTTTTGCTGACGGAATATTCATTTTCAAAAGATGGTAAACAGGCTTGTGTATCAAGAGAGCAATTTTTTAGATTTCAAATACATATTTATATTCTGCATTTTGTCCCCTATAATCGATTTTCAAAAATAGAATATACTAGTAAACAATACATGCAGATCACGAAATAACAATACACTTATTTCGAACAATAGTTTATTGCAATAAAATCATTTCATATCACGCACATGTCTTCATCAGCTGGTGTATCTGAAAAAGATAAAATACACGTTATATATTCACATAAAATAAAGGGCGTCATTTGAATCATGATCGATTTTTTTTTCTCCATTAGTTTGGACCATCTTAATCAGTAAAATGATAAAAGTAATGACTCTTTTCAATTCTTGAGTTGGTCTTATATGTATACAAGGATAAATACTTATTTAGATGTAGTTATGATATCATCTTCAAAATGGACAGTAATTCTAACATTTTGTCTGCGAGCTGAAGGAATAAAAGAAGATGTGTGGTAAACACTAGCAGATAATATCGGTATACAGAACGTAAAATAAAACTGAGTATAGGTAAAAACACTTCACTCTACAATAACAGTATAATGAACAACAACACGAAAGACAACGACAAGCAAATAAAAATGATATCTCTAATTCAGTAAAAATCCATGTATTAAGAACAATGGATTGCATTGTATTTACAGTATCGATATATCGTATATGCCGATATACCATCCTTTAATATATATCACTCTCTGCATGGTTTATGACCTGTCGATATATAACCCTCTTGTATGGTTTATGGCCTGCCAATATATAACCCTCTTGTATATGACATGTCGATATATAACCCTCTGATATATCACATGCCGATATATAATCCTCTGATATATCACATGCCGATATATAACCCTCTGATATATCATATACCGATATATAACCCTCTGATATATCATATGGCGATATATAACCCTTTGACATATCACATGCCGATATATAACCCTCTTTTATCAGTACCACATGACGATTTATCACTCTCATATATCAGTATCATATGACGGTATATCACTCTCATATATCAGTATCCTATGACGATTTATCACTCTAATATATCAGTATCACATGACGATATAACAGTATTCAATGACGATTTATCACTCTCATATATTAGTATCACATGACGATATACCACTTTCTTATATCAGTATTACATGACGATATATATATATCACTCTCTGGTCATTCAGTATAATTTAGTCAATGTTGCCTTTAGTGGGTGATGTTACAGTAGGTTATAACGCTTTGAATCTGAACATATCTGTTTATAAGTGACAGGTACCTTAATCACCGTACAGGCTAGCAGTGATGCTCATCTCCCTTTTAACTCCTGCTGACATGTCATCTAGATTTTCTTTAATTCTAATTAAATTCAGATCTGAAAAAAACAGAAGTATTATCGACTTTACTTATTGGTTTCCTTCCATCTAGTATTTTTTTTAAATTATAATTGAAATTTGTTATATTAAAGATTTGAAGAAGTAAAATCGTTGCCGTTGCAAGTATTGTACACGTGGGCCTCATGTTGATTTCTTATTTACATTTCCACATTATGTTATTTACCTGATAGATATAGCCATAAACATTTGTTGTTTTTGTTGCTATTTTTCTAACAGAAGTCTCAGCAACGACAATTTTGTTTTTGTGAAAAATATTTCATTTTTTGTATAAAATGTTTTAAGATCCTTTAAATGATTTTAATATACACTTACCAACATGGTTCCCAAGATTCCTAATTTGTACAACTCTCCTGTTCTCGCCATTGTCTTCATTAGCTTTATTAGCCATCCTCAACTTCTTTTCCTGGGCCATGATTACTGGGCACCAAAAGTTAATCTCGTCCAATAGCCGAGTCCGCTTATCAAAACATTTATCCATTAATTTGTAAAGATTCTCAAGACGAGAAATTGTTTTGGGAATTCTAGTTCCTTTATTTCTTTTAAGCCGTCTGTTGACCTCTTAAATAAAAAACAAAAACATTGAATACCAGTCATATTAAATTGTACGATTAGGGATAAAAAGGGGACTCTCAGAAACTCTAAACGGGGAACAATAACAGCTCTTCTATTTTTTTTTCATTTATAATTTGTACATGATAATATATGATAATATGAGTTGAAGTAAGTGTTTGCCTTTTTTGCAATTTCAAAGCTAAATTTACGTCACTTTAAACGAATATTTTCAAAAGCAGTAGACCTATAACTAAACAAAGGAGAATGAGCTCTTGTTCATTGAATAATTTACCAAGAAAAAAAAAACCCTATATAAATGATTCATAAAAAGTAGAAAATTTAACGATAGTTTGTGTTTAGAAATAAGTAACGAATGATAACGGATAATAACTCATTTCTTATGCAGCAAAAATACTGCAATCTGATTGGTTAATTACCCCGGTGTAAATAACACCCACCCTTGTTCACCCCGGGATAAATAAAATTTTGCCAAAAAAATAAAAAAAATAAAAAATTTGTCAAAATAAAGAAAAAAAAATAAAATGTGAAAAAAAATATAAATAAATAAAATGTCAAAAAAAAATATATATATATATATAAAAAAATAAAAAATAAATAAATTTGAGGACAAAAATTTGTAAAAAAAATTAAAAAAAAATTAAAAAAAAATTTTGTTTTCCCGAAAATTCAAAAGAACAAAATTCTTTTTCTGAATTTCCCAAAAAATAAAGAAAAAAAATATTTGACAATACGCAGCAACATCAACGTTGAAAAAATGTTACACTGGAAATTTTTCATTAGCATTTTTCAATTTTACATCCCGGTTTAAAAATGAGTAAAGGAATTGTTCATAAGAAATAAATTCGTTATCTTGGTGTAATCAGGGGTGTACGGAATTTTACGTCTTTGCATATGTATTCAAAGTTACATATGCCCAATATATTTACACATGTCATTGATATTATTATTTGACCACATTTCTTAATTAAACAAATTGTCTGCAAATCTATGTATTTACCATACATTTAGGAATATGTTCAAAGGCTTTTGATATGTTCTGATTTGACATATATTTCAGCCGACTATAAAGACTTACAAATATATTCCTTTACAATACATTTGACAGGTCTCTGCATATTAAAGGAAATGATGCTTTACACCCCTCTATAAAGTTCTCGTTTTGAATTGGTTTACATACCAGGCAAATGTAGATGCACCTTACACTTTATAACCCCTACAAAATTATTTGAATGATGATGCTTTGCTACCTAGACAAAGAAACATATTTGCGGATAAATTTACATCATAGAAAAATACATGACAAAGATTTCCATTTGCAGAGGTATACAAATACATAAGTTTGCGAAAGTTTTGAGATGGTCATAAATATATGCAAATTCTAAACTTTAAAATGGTTTGATTAGGTGTTAATATATTTTATAAACCGCGGTCTCTCATAACCGCCCATAGGAGGGTATAGCACAAGAAATGTTGATATTTACTACATGTAAAAACAAGATAAACTAAATGCAGCGGTTTGTAAATATATGTAAATGTCGGTCTTTGAATACATTTACATAACCTTTGCATACCTCTTCAAATCCGGGATTTCGTGTAGTGTACACCGTTTTTGAAAATTCATACACCCATTCGGCTGCGCCTCAGGGTGTATGAATTTTCAACAACGGTGTAAAATTCTGTACACCCCTGATTACACCAAGATAACTAATATTCTTGCTGTAAAACTAAAACCCCAAAACTATAAACGTTATTAACAATTATAAACCACACACACCTTCCATTTCAACTGATGTCGTGTCTTTTTGCCATATGGAATGAACCAAAAGACTTCTGTAAACTTTCATTTCTGAAATAGAATATTTTAAAGTAATCAAGATTGTCTTTCGTCGAGTTCAAGGGTTTGAATGGTTTCATGACGTGGAACACTCCACAATCTATAAAACTAATACAATTACCCCCCACCCCCCAAAAAAAAAATAAAATGATTAGAAATGTAGGCAGAATGATATTTTATCATGTTTCATTTCATGTAGTGTATGGGTTCAAATTCATGTTATGTACCCGATTTTATTACAGAAAAAAACCTTAAATATACCTTAAAGACGGTATTTGCTGTTGTGTTTTGGTTTTTGGAGGACTAACAAGTTTTGTGTTTTAGTTCTCATTATTTTTGGGGAAGTTTAATATTTTTGTCTTCACAAATTTTGGATTTCCAATGTACCTTGATATGGTTATTCCAGAAACAATAAATGGTGTTTATATTCATTATAAGATTTGCCCCAATAATTCTCAAATAGTGTGTCTCTAGGGTGGATCATCGGTATATATTTTCTCAGATAGAATTTTCTTATACTTTGCCAAAATGTGGATTTTACCGTGCTTTTCTCAAATATGAAATAAAAGTATGGGTCACCGTGCTATTTCGTCAATGTGCAGAGATTATTCATGAAGAAAAAAACTATTTGTGAATAAAATAAAATCTATGAGATAGAAATTTGTAATAAATTATGATAGGTTTGATAGGTTTTAATATGCTTTAAGAAAATAAAAATAAAAATGGTGCCACTTTCTAGCTACATGTCAACAATGTCATCATTCCTTTATAAAAAAAAATCACTTTAAAATTATCTCCCCTTAAATGGCTAAGTTGAAAAAGTGATTCAAAATTGTAGTGTAAAACACATCCTTTCTTTCCATATAAAACATAACTGTGTAAAAATAGTAACATGTTGTTGATGGAATTGAAAAGTGTTCAGACATACTGTGACATATTTTGCACTCCTTAATTTCCAGGATACAGAAAGTAGGGCAAGAAAAATGAATAAGGGGATACAATAGTTTACTCACACACCTTTCTTACGGCTTCTTGTCAGCAGGACACTCTTTTGCATCCCAAAGAACAGGAAGAAGAGCAGCAATATACAGAATAACTGTATTTTACTGAAGTCAGCCAGGTACTGTGTACAGGAAAGTAATGAAAGGCAGTGAAGAGAAAGAAAGAAGTTGAGTGATAAGAACAGTGCAAACAAAGATTGAGAAGCTAAAACAATAAGTACTAATACATTTGATAACATAAGATGAAAGAAACGCTGTTAATAGCGTGCAAGTGTAGACTTAATAAAAAATAAAAAACAACAATAATGAAAAAATAAAGTTAAATAGTTGTCAGTCTGTAAATTAAAGTCTAACTGGCCATAGAATGGTGGACGCAAGGCTATCTTAATCAGGTTGAATGAATATCAAACGTAAGACATATAAAGTATATATAAATTGAAGTTGTTGAAAAAGGTTGCTTACGTTTTCTGAGAATGAAATGAAGTTGACAATGGAATCTAAAGTATATTCTACAGCTGGGAGAACTACATTGGTGTACGTGTATGTTGTTATATCTGTTGTCTGTTGTAATACCGGATGAACTAGATCCTCAATGTAAACTGGCAGAACTACATTGTTGTACGTGTATGTTGCTGCATCTGTTGTCTGTTGTAACACCGGATGAACTAGATCATCTATGTGATGTTTCATTATGTGCATAAGTAGACTATTGAAGTCAAGGGCTGATTTCCAGTAAAACTTTGTATACTCATTGGCTTTGTAAGATGTGTCTGATAGGACTTGAAAGTAGTTTCTGGTGTAGTCAGACATATGCGCCTGTGTTATCATGGTAACATCTATGAAGGTGTCTAGATACCCTGTTATTTGTTCTGACATGACCTGTTGTGATGTGTTGTATACCCATTGTAATTTCCTTAAATAATCAGTTGTGTATTCTGTGACATAATGCATCATGTTCATAGGTTCAAACATTCTGAAAAATAACCATCCTGTGCATGCATTTCTTGATCTCATATTGCGTGCATATCGAAATGTCTCTATAAGGTTTGATTATAATAATGAACATTTTAGTGTTCCAAGGCAAAATTTTGATGCTTTGAAGTCAAGGCATCGATCAAGATATGTGATTCAGAATTATGACATATTTTGCATAGATCTCCGGCTCCTCTAGTGGTGATTATTTATGTAAATCATGCTATATTGTTACAATATGTTTATACCAATTTAAAAAACGATATTATATTGTGTCATTTATGGTACAATGAGTTATAAATGATTTTTTTTCAACTATAGTTAATACTGTAAATATTTCAACATTGTATCCTGTTTAGACAGAATAATTTGTGTCATGCTTATATGTGTAGAAAAGATTATCTTAATATCTCATCTTTTCATTTTTACGTCCGAAAGCTAGAGATGTTCAAAGAAATTGTACCAACATAATCGAATGATATGTAAGCATTGCGGATTAATACTTTTGAAATAAAGTCACTATATAGGACAAATTCGGCCTTCATTTACTTTATGGGTCCCTCAAATTTCGGTTTGTTTTGTTTTGTTTGGTTTGGGTAAGGATTAGTTTAGTAAAAAAAAAAACCTTTTGCAACCAGTGCAAAACCTTATTTAAGACTATGGTAAAATTAAGAGAAAATATAAAAATAGCAACTTACATATAGAAGATTCTATAACCTAAGACCAGTAACAACCAATAATATTCACTTTTGTAGCACGGAACTGAAAAAAAAACGTCTGCTCGATCGAAGAGAAGAAGACTGTCTGTCACAATGTTTCAAGCGTAACTAAGGGGAGATAAGCTGACGTAACAAAGGACAACAATGACGTTATATGATAGAACTGCGGATCCAATTATTTACGCTCCTTTCGATTCTCTTTTTATCACCAAAAAGAAACGATTAATTGACGCTTCTGATCATAATTGGAATTACTTTATAAAAATTTGTCTCGAGTAACGGTCGTTATTTCAGAAAAGATACGAATAAATAAAGAGAGGCAAAAAAAACTATAATAGCTAGACAAGATGGAAATTGGAAGTCAGAAAGAAAAGGCATGAATTTATGTTAATAATACCCAAAAAGGATTCATAAAAAGTATAAATTGACAGTATTGGACAGTTTAATAGACTATACCAACCACAAAACACCCGACTCCTCCGAAACAAATACAAATAACAACGAACAACACACAGACTATACCAACCACAAAACGCCCGACTCCTCCGAAACAAAAACATATAACAACGAACAACACACAGACTATACCAACCACAAAACGCCCGACTCCTCCGAAACAAATACATATAACAACAAACAACACACAGACTATACCAACCACAAAACGCCCGACTCCTCCGAAACAAAGACAAATAACAATGAACAACACTCAGACTATACCAACCACCAAACGTCCGACTCCTCCGAAACAAAGACAAATAACAACGAACAACACACAGACTATACCAACCACAAAACGCCCGACTCCTCCGAAACAAAAACATATAACAACGAACAACACACAGACTATACCAACCACAAAACGTCCGACTCCTCCGAAACAAATACATATAACAACGAACAACACACAGACTATACCAACCACAAAACGCCCGACTCCTCCGAAACAAAGACATATAACAAGGAACACCACTCAGACTAAACCAACCACAAAACGCCCGACTCCTTCGAAACAAGTACATATAACAACAAACAACACACAGACTATACCAAACACAAAACGCCCGACTCCTCTGAAACAAATACATATAACAACAAACAACACACAGACTATACCAACCACAAAACGTCCGACTCCTCCGAAACAAAGACAAATAACAACGAACAACACACAGACTATACCACCCACCAAACGCCCGACTCTTCCGAAACAAATACATATAACAACAAACAACACACAGACTATACCAACCACAAAACGTCCGACTCCTCCGAAACCAATACAAATAACAACGAACAACACACAGACTATACCAACCACAAAACTCCCGAATCCTCCGAAACAAATACATATAACAACAAAACACACACAGACTATACCAACCACAAAACGCCCGACTCCTCCGAAACAAATACATATAACAACAAACAACACACAGACTATACCAACCACAAAACGTCCGACTCCTCCGAAACAAAGACAAATAACAACAAACAACACACAGACTATACCACCCACAAAACACCCGACTTCTCCGAAATAAATACAAATAACAACGAACAACACACATACTATACCAACCACAAAACGCCCGACTCTTCCGAACTAAAGACAAATAACAACAAACAACACACAGACTATACCAACCACCAAACGCCCGACTCCTCCGAAACAAAGACAAATAACAACCAACACACAAACTATACCAGCAATAAACGCCCGACTCCTCTGAAACAAAGACAAATAACAACAAACAACACACAGACTATACCAACCACCAAACGTCCGACTCTTCCGAAACAAATACATATAACAACAAACAACACACAGACTATACCAACCACAAAACGTCCGACTCCTCCGAAACAAAGACAAATAACAACAAACAACACACAGACTATACCAACCACAAAACGTCCGACTCCTCTGAAACAAAGACAAATAACAACAAACAACACACAGACTATGCCAACCACAAAACGTCCGACTCCTCCGAAACAAATACATATAACAACGAACAACACTCAGACTATGCCAACCACAAAACGCCCGACTCCCCCGAAATAAATACAAATAACAACAAACAACACACAGACTATACCAACCACAAAACGTCCGACTCCTCTGAAACAAAGACAAATAACAACAAACAACACACAGACTATACCAACCACAAAACGTCCGACTCCTCTGAAACAAAGACAAATAACAACAAACAACACACAGACTATACCAACCACAAAACGTCCGACTCCTCCGAAACAAATACATATAACAACGAACAACACACAGACTATACCACCCACAAAACACTCGACTCCTCCGAAATAAATACAAATAACAACGAACAACACTCAGACTATACCAACCACCAAACGCCCGACTCCTCCGAAACAAATACATATAACAATAAACAACACTCAGACTATACCAAACACAAAACGCCCGACTCCTCCGAAACAAAGACAAATAACAACGAACAACACTCAGACTATACCAACAACAAAACGCCCGACTCCTCCGAAACAAAGACAAATAACAACGAACAACACACAGACTATACCAACCACAAAACGCCCAACTCTTCCTAAATAAAGACAAATAACAACAAACAACACAGTTTTTCAAATATTTCAAGAAATGAGAGAATTTGTTTGGCCTTAAGGGAGATATATTTTCTAACTTCATGTGAAAAATTTGAATCTGATAATATTGTTCTCTTTGTTCACCAAAACAATTGCCAATACTTGACAATGAACCAACAATTAAAAGCAATGAAGACAGTCAGGTCTTAAATGATTTCTTAAAAGCAGTTGGAAGATTTACTTAAGTTACATGCTATATGATTTAGATTAATATTACATTTTCAGTTTATAGTAAGCATGTATTATGGACAATAATTGTCTTTAATAAACTCCTCATAGATACCAGGATTAAAATTGTGTACGCCAGACGCGCGTTTTAACTGCAAAAGACTCACCATTGATTCTCGAATCAGAAAAATTTAAAGGGCCAAATAAAGAAAGAAGTTGTAGAGCACTGAGGACCCAAAATTCAGAAAGGTTATGTCACATACAGCTAAGGTAATCTCATCCTGGGGTAGAAAATCCTTAGTATTTCGCAAAATTCCAAGTTTTGTAAACAGAAATCATTTATTATTATGACTATATTAATAATATAATTAATGTCAACACAGAAGTGCTGACTACTGGACTGGTGATATCCTCAGTTTGAAATTAATATTTATTGTAAAAAGATGAATGTGACAATACCGCGACGGACTTTCAAGGCTTGAGCGAAATGAAGCTTATGACCAAGTGAGCTGTTTTAGCAAAGTCAGATTCAGGCTAATTATAGTTATCCTTTTCTTCTGTCGTAAAATATAATTGACGTTTCATTTAAAAGTCTTAAAATAAATGACTGAAGTAAATTTCAGCTCAAGAAATATATCTTTGCATTATTTGCATCCGGTGTCAATTAGTGCAGATTAGTAAAATAGGTTATTTTTAAAATGACGTTCACAAAATCATCCAGTCATCAAAATAACAGGTGTCAGTCAGTCAATGACAAAGTTCCAGACAAAACAGGTTTATATAATTTTGTTCTAAATTTTAACAATGTTGGAGGAACAAGAGAGGTAAGATCAGTTATCTTTGATTTTCTAAGCGCTTTCTATAGAATCATGTACATGTAGACATATAATTGTAGAATTCATCTATCGAAGATGAAGCTCACTTTCAATTTCCAGTCTGTCTATTGTAAGGAATTTTATTTGAAGTCCCTTTGTTCGTCTATGACGATTTATGAGATGCATATACATGAAATCTATTTCAACAAATATCTTTGCAGTAATGTAATATGAAATTATGAAAATTTTTAATTTTGAAATGATTTTGAATCTGATATAAAATTATGTGAAATATTACATCAAATTGGAGAAGACGATACTAAAGTGAACAACTTGTGTCTTATCCATTTGTCCTTTTGAACAATGAAATATCATGTATAACTATCAAATTCCGAAAAAAATGAGTTTATTCAGTCCGGCGATGAGCATTTTCTAAATTTGATGGGACTAGAAAATTTATATGTGAATCGATTGTTTATCTAAGCAGATTTGTCAAATTCATAATAAATATGGCTAGCAGAAGAAAGCTCTGATTGTGCTTCTCATTGAAATTTTGGTGATATTTCAGAAATAAGATATTTAGATGCGGATAATGTTTAAATTTCATAGAGGGGCGTAAAAGGGGGGGGGGGGGGAGGGATCTGCACGGAAGAACGCGAAATAAAATTGCCATTTCACGATGAATGAACAATTAAAAATTTCTTGCACGTTGATCTTTTTACCGATTTCACGAAACACGGTGAATAACGAACCCTTTTCACGGCTTCACGTGAAATAAAAATGGCAAAACACGTTGCACGAAAATAACCCTTTACCACCCTCTTCATAAAAGCTATATAAAAGATCTCTGAAAGTCAGTCCCTGAAATCTACAAAAGATATTTATTAATTTACATTGTGTACAACTGTCTCTCTTTTCAATATTTCGGTCGCTCAGCTGACATATGGTTCAAGGTAACCGTGAAAATTGCTCACCTGGTTTATAATCCATATGAGCTGAAAACGAATTGAAATATCAAATCAATGTCGGAACTATAGTTCCTGCATTGCAAATGTCAGTTCAACTTAATTTTTAGGTAATGGTGCCACATGGTGCCTTGAATTGGATATTTGTCGTAGTGAATTGGGTGATATAGTCACCTGGTTAGTTCGAGGGAGCGAAAATATTTTTTCACTTAAATAGCTGTTTTAAAAATATTAAGCTCCGAATGTCAAATGAAACAATTCCTACTCATAACTTTACATCAAGTTTATACTAAGATAAGAAGCACAGTTAAGGCGGGTTATTTGTGAAAAGAAGGAGAACAAACCAAGGCGGCACCATAAATCAAATAAAGACAGACAGCATGGCAAGAAAGAAGTAAAAAAAACGACGAAAAGAAAACAGTACAAATACAGAAATGCTGTAAAATGATCATAAAAATATATTTCATAACAACAGGTTCAACTTCATTTTCCAAATCAAATTCCTTATAGATACAAAGATTTGGTTAGGAAGTTTGGTTGTATCTGTAGAATTTTCATTGATGCGATATATCACATCATAATTTTACGGTGATACTGTTTATAGAGCCCGAAAATTTAGATAAGATCCATGTGAACTCATATATTTATCTTACCTCCTATTTGTGTGTGTGCGTCGTCCCGATCATTTGAGTTAAGCCAATTGCAACTGATTTTACATTTTACATCTTATGTTGTGCTGTTACACCATCGACCTAGGTTAGGGAGGGGAGGAGCTGACAAACATGTTTAGTACCGGCTGCGCCACAGTCTTTATGTGCCTGTCTAAAGTCAGAAGTCTGTAATTGAGTGTTTGTCGTTCATTATATTTGTTTTTTGTAAATTGTTTGTAAAATATTTAGCCGTTAGTTTTCTCATTTGAATTGTTTCACATTTGGTCATGGTCGACTATACTGTATGGGGTTTCTCATTGTTGAAGGCCATGCGGTGACCTATAATTGCTTATATCCACTTATTTTAACTCTTGTGGATAGTTGTCTCATTGGCAATCATACCACATCTCCTTATTTTTATATTGACGCGGCCTCAAATAAGGAGATATGGTATGATTGCAAATTAGACAACTGTTCAACAGAGACTAAATTACGTGGATTTAAACAATTTTATAGATCAAAATGGATCGATGAATTAAGGAGATGTGGTATGATTGCCAATTGACAACTATCCAAATGAACAGGATATAAGCAACTATAGGTCACAGCATGGCCTTCATCAATAAGCTAAACCCTAACGTAGATTCGGCCATAAAAGGCCCCGACATGAAAAAATGTGAAACATTTCAAATGAAAAAACTATCAGCCTATCTCGTCTTTTTGTAAATGGCTGTTCAATGATAGACAATATTTGGATTTCTCATAGGTATCATTTGGATAGTTGTCTCATTGTCAACCATACCACATCTCCATATTTTATAAAGCGATTTTAACCGTTATTTTTTTCATATAGAATATGATTTTGAGGTAATGTTTTAAATTTGTTTAATTTTTTTTAATTTTTACAGTTTCACAGAGCTTCCAGCTTTCTCTGGTATATATAAGTCTTTAATGGTATGTATTATAAAATCTAGATTAAACATTAAAATAGGGGGATAGCCTTACACAGGGAAAACAACAATTAAATGATTCTTACAACAAAGTCGTCGACCCCAATTTTTTTCAATCATGTTTTTATCTAAAAATCATGATATATGTTGCCACAAGATTTTGAGAAAAAAATCACGAGAAGAACTGGCATATCTTTTAGGTCTTTAACATTTGTTTCATACTTCAATCATTTGTTGCCCGTTTTTCACTATATTAATAAAATTCTTTAAAGATTAACATCGTTTCGATTCCGATTATGTGTTGGTTAGTTTTTAGAATTAGTAAAATGTATTTATAAGTCGAAATGCATTCCTTACGAAAGTTTGTTTAAATCGAAAGTTTATGTTAACTGTGAGAGTGATTGGTAGTTTGAAATTGAAATTTTCATTAAGCACAAATATAGATAGGCAAGTCTTGCAAAAAAATATATACTCAGTGTAGAGAAAATACATCACCGGACAGAATAAATCGGAAAGGAAAAACCGATAATTTATCTGTATATCTTATGAAATGGATAAAAAGAGTAATCCTTCAGGGATGTAACATATCGTAGCTGCCAGTGTGGTTCGTGTGAAATTACTTTTAGTAGCACAATCTATGTCCAACACTTTATTTAACCGAAACAAAATCTATAACCAGGGTAAATTTTAGACCGATCGTGGTCTGAACCCCTGACCACGTTTTATGGAATATAAAATAAAGAAGTTTAACGAATTAATAAAATTCACTGTCATATATCTGTTTATCTTCATAATTGATTCGAAAAAAAGTTAATTAAAACATATGTAATAGGTCACGTTTGCCAGCTTGGCTGTTGTAAAATTGTATTTATTA